GTATGTGTGTGTATGTGTGTGCGTGTGTGCGTGTGTGTATGTGTGTGTGTATGTGTGTGTGTGTGTGCTTGCGTATGCATGTGTGTGTGTATGTGTGTGTGTGTGTGTGTGTGTGTGTGTGTGTGTGTGTGCGTGCGAGTGTGGGTGTTTAGTTTTAAGTGGTACAGTTGCTATGGAAACTAGACATTTAAAGAGTTTCACAGATGTAAACGAATTTGGCATCATTAATTGTAAAGGCTGCCTAAAGCATCGGAGCGAGCCGGTACCAGAACACATCCTGTAGAAGCGTCAGCATGAAAGCACAAAATCAACACCACACGATCATGAGATCAACAACAAACGGAGCAAACATTATAAAGCTGCTTCATTGATGAACCTGACCTTTACTCCACTGGTAACTTAGGTCAAATGAAGCACAACCCGTTGTCATAGCAACGCACCATCACATAACCAAAGCAACACTCAGATAAACCAGGACAACAAAGACCATGACGGTCGTTTTTTACCTCCCTGCAGGTCAACGGCTTGCTTCTATGTATGACTGAGTCAAAAACATCCTGAGAACATGCAGAAGTGCCGCTGCTTTTTTGAACTTCCATGGCTTAAAACTAGCAGACAGCTCTAAAGGGTCCAGCTCCTTTCCTGGCTGGTTTTTAGTGTGGAGCCCTTCTGGACAGTCAGAGTCCGACCTGCAGCTGTCTGCGGTCAGGCTGTCCCTCCAAACAAATACCTGAACCTCTTGCAGGAAAACCTTCCAGTAAATTCAGTCACATGACTGACTGGATGAGTGGAGAGGAAGTTAGCTAGTGTTAGCCTTGCAGTAGCTACTCCTCACATAAACACATATCAGCAGAATTTACAGAAAATGCAGAGGAAAGAACAGGAAAACTTAAGAGAACAGCATTTTTAGATGTGTTTAGTATTTCAATTCAATTCAAGTTTATTTATACAGCGCCAAATCACGACAAGAGTCGTCTCAAGGCACTTCACACATACATTCCAGAACAGGTCAATTCTTTAAGCCGATCAAAAAAAAGTAGCACAGGCATCGTCTGGCCTACACCAGCTGACGCCACCACACAACCCTGTTTACCCCCACAACCCTCAGTGTCTAGGTGCAGCTTAAAATTTGAAGTAGGCTCTTGTATTTGGGGATGAGGCTGAGAGATTCCCTGCTAGGTGCCGTTGATTGTGCTCACTCCCAACGCTCTATGTGTGCATTTGCATGGAATGTCATTGCTGGATGTGTTTAATGTGCAAATAAAATATGGGACACAAGCCAGCACAGGACTGCGGAAATGGGAACCATACACGCACCCCCTGACTTATCAACACCCCAAGGCCAATTGTGCATGTTTGTGTGGTGATGTGAAGGAGCAGGAAGAGGAAAATGTCTGAGAACCTGGAGGAAGGGCTGGGGGGCCTAGACCCTCCAGGGAGCCAGCTCCCTCACTGGCCCCAATAGGCCCCCCAATTCCTGAAATCCACCCAGCGCATGGAGACCCAGCCTATCAAGCTAGGACCCAAAGCGGCAGCATTGCATAGCCCATGGAGTCCAAGGCCACCAACCCACCAGCCCCACCCCAGCAGAGTATCTACTCCAATCTCCACATTTGGTCAAAGTCCAGACTACGTAACACATAGACACCCAGGTAAAGTTGGGTCCTCCCCTTCCCTCAAGATGGAACAGAAGTGCTCTTGCCAATACAGGAGGAACTAAGGTCCACCCAAGGCCCTCATACTGGCAGCATACAAGCCAGGACCCAATTCCCAACCCAGCTCAGATCCCCATCCGGTGACAACCACCCCCAAACTCCTAGCCTCCATGCCCTCACCCAGACCCACCTAGGGGTGATACAGCCATCAGGTAGTGACCTGTGGCCACTGTCAAAACACGGGTGCCAGACGTCCACCCACCGTGGCCACCCAAGCACCACCAAAGTGGGGCAGCAGCCCCCCAGACCCCCCCAGTGAACTCACCCCCAGGGAACCTCCGGATTCTCCAAACTAGGACCCTCCACCACATCCACCACAGCATCCTGTATAATAGCAATGACCCTCCATCGCTTTGTGATGGAACCAATCAAAGGAGCCCAGAGGGGCTGATTTGAAGTGGAGGCAGAAGCAGAAGAACAAGTGGAATATGATTCAACAAAGATTTCTATTCTGGTTAATGCAAAGATTATCTTTATTTTTCAGTTTATGAGGCCAGTTTTCTTTGTGATGCAAATGGCAGTTAGAACCACATGAACCAAATTGGTTTCAGTCAGAACATCATCGAGGTTTCTTAGCAAACAAAAAGAGGGGGAAGTTGGGATATGACATTTGAGACACTTAGACAGATCTTCACATACTCTACACCCCAGAATCCCTGAGCAGGTGGGCAGAGGAGGAGGACAACTCCCTTTAACGGGAAGAAACATGCAGAGGATCCTGGATCAGTATAAGCAGCCATATGACACGACTCGCTGGAGATCGAGAAGACAGAGCAGACAGACAC